CCCCAAGCCAAGGGCTAACCCACCACAGAAGGGGACAGCAGAGTGGGACAATGCAGGGTGGCCCCATCTACAGGGTGACATCGGCTTGTCAGCCTGACCGAGGTGATTGATTCTTGGGGATCCCTGGTAGGGCTGGGCAAGCAGGGTGCCCTGGGCCCCCGTGGTACTGTTTTGGCACATGTCACTAGCCTGGCACATGTCACCCTTCCTGCGCCGTGCCTGGGACACATACAGCTCCGCCTGCCCGCTGCGGTTCACAGCTGGCTTTCGAGGCCGCCTTGCGTCTACTTCCTCCTCGCAGCTGAGCCATTGCGTGTCAGCAGCTGGAAATAACCCCGACCTCTGTGACATCCCCGGCACTCAGCCGCGGTGGTGGCTGGCGGTCATCACATGTGCTCCGCCTCCCGTCTGGCTGCTCGGACCACAGGGACGCAGTCAGGACGTGGGGGCAACGAGGAGGAAAAAGAGGAAGGGTGCCAGCGAGGAGGGGGCTGGTGCCCGCCCAGCCACAGTGACGCACGGCGGGGCCATCCCTTCCTGTGGCATTTGTACGGACCCAGCTTACACAGACACCACTCTGCAGAGATGTCCCGGCCAGTGCCTTCGCTCAGCTCTGCTGCTGCCTGCGTCACCCTCCTGCTTGGATGTGCCTGGCTCGGCTCGGCTGCTCCTTTCTCCCGAGGTAAGTGCCTTGGTGGGTCTGGAGGGTGATGGGGCAGGGTAGGGAGGTGTCATTGGGACACCTTGACATCGTGCCCCGTGACAGCTGGAGGGGTAGCTGGGTGTCACAGTGAAATCTCGGGGCACTACTCTGCTGCCTTCCCTAGGCATCCATGTTGAAAATCCAAGTGAAGACCTGAAACCCTGCTGCCCCTTCCCCTTTTGGCAGCAAAAACCAGGTTACTGCTCTTTTACTTGAATTTTCCCTGCCCCCTGGATGCAGAGAGGTGGCAGAGATTGTGGGAAACCCACTGGATGTACCCAGGGCCCCCTGGGGCTGAGTGTCCTGGGGACCACCCAGACGGAGCTTGTGGAGCCCAGGGTGAGGTGCAGGGGAGCAAAGCCTGGCTGCATTTTTTCAGCAAGAAAAGGGATTTGATCAGGAGTTGTTTGTCTGGTGTCTCGGGACCTTCCTGTTCTTTGCTTTTGTTCTGAGCATGCAGTGAAAAGCCTCCGACCGCAGGAAGATGGGGTGGCGTGTATAGCCCCGGCCACAGCAGGGGGCTGGCTGGGGGGAGAAGGACGAGACAGGAGCTCCGGTGGGAGACTTTCTCCCATCCTGGCATGGGTGGCCACATCCCGACACAGTCCTGGTGTGGGTTTCCTGTCTGCCCTTTCCATCCCGTTGGGTTGCAGGGAACCCATTGTGCTGGGCTCGGTAGGAAAAGGGACATGGGCAGATCCACAGGTCTTTGCAGCAGCACACGGGAGCAGGGTCCGTCTCGGCTGCTGGCAGGCACCTGGCTGGGCTGGCACTGGGTGGCACCGCTGGGTGGGTGGTGTGGATGGCGCAGGATGTAGCACGGTGGCAGGATGTGAAGGGCTTCTGTACCCCAAACTACCCCCTGAAGTGGGGCAGAGAGACCCCAGCCCCTGTGTTGGCTGGTGGCTCTGCAGGGAGGGGTGACAGGTCCTGCGTGGTCCCAAGTGGGAAGGGGCAGTGGGAGGGGTCTCTCAGCTGAGCCTGATCCTTTGTGTTCTCCGCAGTGCGTGACAAAGGGCGAGTCTTGATCTCCCTCACTCCCCAAGAAGAAGACACATGTCCCAGTGCCGCTGTGGAAGCTTTTCTCAACAGCACCCTCACCACCCGCCTCCTCCCCACTCTCTACTCTGTGGTGCTGCTCGTGGGGCTGCCGGCCAATGCTCTGGCCTGTTGGGTCCTGGTGACCAACTTCAGGAGATGTTCCAACACCCTCTTCCTGCTCAATCTGGCCAGTGCCGACCTGTTCTTTGTGCTCCTGCTGCCCTTTAAGATCTCCTACCACCTCTTGGGCAATGACTGGCTCTTTGGGGACTACCTGTGCCGCGCCATGGTAGCCCTCTTCTACGGGAACATGTACAGCTCCATCCTCTTCCTCACCTGCATTGGCCTGGAGCGCTACATCTCTGTGGCACACCCATTCCTGTGGAAGGGCTCCAGTTGGACGTGGGGCAAGGTGGGTGTCTGTGTGGGCATCTGGCTGGTGGTGGGTCTGGGCATGAGCCCTCTACTTTTGCGCTCCCAGACACATCACATCTCAAGCCTGAACATCACAACGTGCCATGATTTCCTAAAAAAGAGTGAGCACGTGTTCCTCACGTACTATTTCCTCTCCCTGGTGGGGCTGGGCTTTGTCTTGCCCTTCGTGCTTGTCACCATCTCCTACAGCTGCATCTTGGTGCGGCTGCTGGCCAAGGGGAGACGCTACAGGCAGGTGGTGTGTGTCCTGGCCCTGGTCCTCCTGGTATTCGTCCTCTGCTTCACCCCCAGCAATGTCCTGCTCTTCATCCACTACCTGCCAGAGGCCACGGGGTGCCACAATGCCACCTACATCTGGTATGCCCTGGCCCTGGCCATTGGTGCCTTCAACAACTGCTTCGATCCCTTTGTCTACTTCTATGTCTCCCAGGATTTTCGGGGCTGGGTCCGAGATGCAGGCAGCTGCTGCCTGGGGGTGCTCAAGACCTCATCAGGGAGGACCTCGGAGAAGGCAGCCTTGCCCCTGAGGTCCAGCGAGCAGACTCAGCCATAGGCAGGGATGGGGGATGTCAGGATGTGTCCCCCTGCCCCAGGGAAGGGGGAACCTGCAGCCTGGTGCCCAACACGAAGGGTTGCGCTATCCCAGGCTGGCAGCAGACTCGGGCAGAAAATCCCACCCTGGACCTGAGGTTCACTGGGACCTTGCCCCAGTCCTGCAGATCCTCTGGTGCTGCTGGTGCTGCTTCCACCCCATGGGTCCCCCAGCTCTGTGCCTGGCCCTGGCACCCCCCACCTCTGTGCCTGCTGGACCCTGGCATCCCTCATTGCTCCTCCTGCAGTGACCAAACCCTCCAGAGTACAAATAAACCTTTATTTCTCCCTGCTGGTGGAAGGAACAGATATAAATACCCGAGCTGAGCAGGGACCGTCCTCCATCGCCAGGTCTACATGCCAGGCACACACGGCCAGCCCTGCTCCTGTTGCCTGCACCGCATGCCCCCTTGCCTCACACTGTGCCATGCTGCTGAAGCATGCAGGCATCATGTTTCTGCTTTTATTTTCCCTTTTGCTTGCTTCTCTCAGTGCTAGGACCAACAGCAGACGCGCCACCCATGAGCAAGAGCAGGTGTGGCAGCATCCCCAGCCTTCCCAAGGTGTACAGCTCAGCATCCTTGTCCCTGCTAGTCCCCTGGTCCCCAACAGTCCCCGCTCCGTGCCTGGCTCCGGGGTCAGGAGGAGGATGTGGTCTCCACGGTGTGGGAGCACAGGGTACGCATCGTCACTTCCGCCGGGCCCAGCTTGTCCCCCACGTCAGTGGCTGCCCCTTTGCCAAAGTGGGTCATGTCACCGGCTGGCCTGGCCCTGGTGGCTGGCCCTCATTCTTCCTGAGGATGACACTGCTGAGCTCCTGGATGAGTTTGTCGTTGACGGGCGAGGGAGGCTGCACATTCTTTTTCCTGGGGATCTCCAGGGAGGTCTCCATGCTGGGACTGCTCCCTGGTGCGGCCACCTGGTCCCAGTCCCCGGACAGCGCCAGGGAAGGCTCCACGTTCCTCTCCAGAGAGGCCGTTTTGGTGGGTCTGAGCCCCTGGGCTGGAGCTTTGTCACTCTCCAGGTTCAGGCCCCTTTCGAGGGACAGGGCTTTGGTGACGGAGGGACTCGACACCCTCTGGGCCGGGCTGGCAGGTAGTGAGGAGCGCAGTGCCGTGGGCGGGGGCTGCTCAGGGAGTGGGGCCAGCTTCTTGGACCTGTCCATGGGGAGCATGGCCGAAAGGTCTGCCAGCAGCCCCTGCCCCAGCTCCAGCGCAGCCAGCTCAGGGAAGTTGCCCACCTCCTCGTAGACAGGATCGGCATCTGCTTCCTTCTCCTGCTGCTCCTCCAGGGAGTCCTGGTGCATCTTCATGGGCTGGGGAGAGCAGGGTGTTGGGGTGAGGGGCACAACCCACACTGCTCAGCTGTACCCCTCCATCCCAACTCTCCTTGCCCGCCTTGCACTCAGGAGCTTCCTGGGAGCCTTGCCCCCTCGTGGGGCTGATGCCTACAGGGAACCCACCCTCTATCAGATCTCTTTGCTTGGGCACTGCTGCCCTTTCTTCCCCCATCACTGATGAAGGGTGAGTGCTCCGGTCCCTGCCGAGGCATGGTCCATGCCACCAAGCTGTGGCACCAGCCCAGCATCCCTTGGCAGAGGTGGTCTGGGTGGGGAGGGCAGGTGGGGACCCATGTAGGGCACAAAGCCAGGCGACATGAGGTCCAGCCAGGCAGCTCCCATGGAAATAACCCCATGGCAAGGAGAACCTAAACCTATTTCCTCGCATTTCTTATGTTGATCCCTTCTGAGCAATGCACGCCCAACGGGAGAGGCTCTGGGAGCTGGTCTGGACTGTCGTGGTCTTGCTTGCACACACTGGGACCATGCAGGGATGCCCATCCCCGGGTATGGGACACACAGAGAAATGGGCAACCCCTCCTCTGCCACTCAGTGTGGGCAGGGTGGCCTGGGCATGTCCCCGAGTGCAGGTGCGATGCTGCAAGCAAGCCCTTGCTGCCGTAGCCAGGAGGTACGGTGCAAAGCCAGCGATGGACGTGCTCTGCGCGTGTGGGTACTTACAAAGAACATGGACAAAGTCCTTCGCGTGTGCAGGCGGCGCTAGAAACAGAGGAGATGGGCAGAGGTAAGCACGTGACAGCACGGAGCAGGGTCACAGATGCCTCAGCAGAGGACAGGCAGTGGGGCACAGCACCCCATGTGCCCTCACAGGGCACTGCACACAGAGAGCTGACAGGGACATGAGCACAGCATGCAGCACGCACACACCGTCAAGCACAGGGACACACACCCAAAGCATCCATCAGCACTGGGCAGCATGCACCCGCCTCTGGGGCCCTGGGGTGGGCACGTGTCTTGGGACGGGTGCATGGACCTGGGTGGGTGCAGGACCACCCATGAGCAGGGGCAGTTGTGGGGACTTTACCAGGGTCTGGTTGGCAGAGAGCATGGTAGTGTCAGTGCTGTCCCCATGCAGAGGCACCAGCGGCATTGTGCCGAACTTCTGCTTGGCGAGGTCGGAGGAGGAGCGCCGGCGCATGATCACGGGGCGCAGGTCATCATGCTGTGCACAAGGATAGGGCAGGGAGGGGAGGTCACACCGGCCTGCCCTGCCAGCCCCCTTTCTCCCCAGTCCAGCTCAGCTGGATGGCATGGCCAGCCTGCACCCACCTGAGCCTTGAGGATGCTGGTGGTCCAGTCCCACAGTTCAGCCTGCCCCGAGCACACCAGGTACCTGCAGGGGAGTCAGCTGAGAATCTTCCAGGGAGCAGGGCCAGCAGCACCCAGGTCCCCTTGTCACCTTGCCAGGCACAGCTACACCCTTGGGGGCTGCACCTCCGAAACTCTCTACATGCCCAAATCGCTGCTTCAGGGCAAGGCCAGAGCTCTTTGGGGACCTGTGAGCCGCCTCAGCTCAGCTCTCCTTGCTGCCCTTAGAAGAACATCTCAGCCTGATGTTAGGAGCAACTGACATGCTCAGCCACTGCCCCAGCACCGGCAGCAACAGGGAAATGGGGTAGGATCTGGGGGATGCACATGTGCTGGGGCACCCAGCATGCCAGGGAGGCTGGGGTAGGGAGCCCAGCTCGGGATGGGGGGCAGGGTGCAGGAGCACCAGGTGTTGGGTGCGCAGGGACATGGAGCAGTGGTGCGTGGAGGTTCTGGAGCCTGGTGCTGGGTGCTTAGAAGATGCATCTCCAAGGGGTTCTGGTGTGGATTGGGAAGTAGGAAGGGTGTGTGGTAGGGAGATGGATTGCCCCCACCTTGTGCCAGGGAGCGTGTGGCCCCCTCCCACTCTGTCCCTTGAGTGCCCCAGCCAGGCACCAGCTCTGCCCTGACACCCAGACCCTGTGGCCATGCCCCTGGCTGTCCTGCTCCTGCTAAAATTGGAGATAGATTTCAATGTCCCCCCAGCCCCAGGACAGCAGAGGGGATGTTGGATACTCACAGCTGCTGCTTGTCCAGGGTCAGCGTGAAACCCCACCTGGGGGAAGGAAGAGATGGGCTGTGGGGCAGCACTGCCAAACTTGGACACAGCCTGGGGTCTGTGGGCAGTGGGGCAGGGTGCTGACCTCACCCCCAGGACAAGGCTTGGCATGGCTTTTCGTCCCGGTGGGGCTTGGCACGCTCCCAGTGGCTGGGCTCATGTGCCCTGGGGACAGGGACTGAGAGATGCATGCCATGGCCAGGGAAGGTCCCACTTACTGGGCTGGTGGCTTCAGCTTCTTCCTAATGCCCATGTAAACCTTGGCTGCATCCAGGGGCCACTCGCGGTCCGGCTTGGCGCTCTGAGGAAGGAGAGCCACTGGGTCAGCCCAGCTTGGTGCCAACCTCCCTGCCAGCAGGACAGCCACCACCACGCCACCGCTGTCCTCAGGATCCCCCTCCCTGCCTCTCTCCCGGGTCCAGCCCCACCACATCACCCAGGTACCCTCTTCTCCTTGAGCAACAGCAGCTTTCGGTCCCGGATGACAAAGTAGCGCTCCTGAAACTTGTTCCCCAGCAGCTTGGGGGGCTCCTCGCGGCATTTCAACAGCCCACACTTGGGGGTCTCACGCTTGATGCCTGTGCAGTGTGGGGAGAGGGGGGTCAGTGAGGCTGGAAGCATGTGAGGGTGGCTGGAGTACTGCAGAGATCCCACTGTGGGTCTCAGGGATGTGCTGCAGGGTGGTGACGAGGGCAAGGGGAAGCTGAGAAAGAGCTGTCCCCCTCTGGGGACACCCCTAGGGGTTGGGACCCTTTGTGATTGCCTTACCTGTGAAGAGACAGCTGCCCTCACCGATGGGGACCTTCCTCACCAGCAGGTACGCGGCACTGGGTTCTGGGAGCTTGCACCACTGCAAAGCTTGCTCCAGAACCTTCTCCTTGGGGTGCAGGGGCCGCTCTGGGGAGGCAGGGGCACTCTCACTGCTGTGTCTCCTCCACTGTTGCAGTCCCTGTCCCTTCTGCCACAGGCAGCAAACCAACCCCTGTACCCCACACCTCCTCCTCACCAACCTGCATGTGCTGAGAGCATGCCCCCATGCTGTCCCCACCATGCTCACCCAGCTCCCCGTTCTCCAAGACCTCGAAGGTCAGCCAGATGTCCAGGCTGGCCGCCACATTGCGCATCTCCAGCACCTGGTTGGTGAGCTCCTCTGCCGTCATCGTGGGGGACACCTGGGGCCAGACACACAGGGAGCTGTCGTGGGTGGTGGCAGGATGGGTCCCAGGGACACACTGTGCCAGGAGCCCTCCTTCCCTCCTCCAGCATGGCCCTCCTTTGGGACTCACCTTCAGGGTGACGCAGCAGTCGGGCAGCTTCTGTTCCAGATAAACCTCGATGATGAGGTCCCCTGCCTGCGAGAGCTGGGGGAAGAGTGGGTGGCATTGGGGTCATGCTGGCATGGGTGCCGTGCACATCCCCTCTCAACAGGGGCAGACGATGGTGTCTCAGGGATCTGGGGTTGCTTCGCCCTTGGGCAGGAACCTCCAAGTGATGGGTGAAGGGGAGACAAGTGGAA